ACAGTCAGCATTCATTGATAGAACAGCCAGAACTTTTCAGGTTACAGTCTTTTCACTCCCTAGCTACTGGAGTGGCATTGTTATAAAAGCATGTATGGTAACATGAGAGAAGAAAACAAACAAGTTCGACTGGTGAGGTGGAAAGAAGACAAGAATGGTTAAGATAAAATTCTCTGTATTCCTAATATAGAGGATCAAAGCAGAACATCTCTTTGTGGGCAAGGGAAGCAACCTGAGAGATAGAGATAATCATTAGGGCCTGGGGATGATGCATGTGTCAGGTCAGTTGTTGTGAGCAGTGTTCTTAAAAGCAGATGGGGTAGATCATGACTCAGTGTTTTTCATCATACTTTTTGCTTTAGCATCAATCTTCATGGTTGGCTACTTTTATATTTTTATTTTTTGTGAGAGATTTGTTTTGTAAGTCGGATGTGATACTCGGAGCCCCTGTGCAGAGAACAACATTTATTTTATTTTTATTTTTGCTTTCTTAGAGTTCATATCTGGCTAACTGGTTTTGATGTAGAGTGAATCGGAAAGAGATCTAGTTTGAAGTAGAGTATAACAAGATCAAAGTTTAGTATCTGTTCTCTTCATCCCTAATGTTAATAGCAATATTAACTGTTTCTTTATATGAACTCTTTTAACATTCAGCCAGTGCTACTTGTGTTATGCATTTTTTAATTCCCTGTCCATTGACCTGGCACCAAAGTGTGCTATCTGTTCTCCTCATCTCTGATGTTAATGATAATATTAACCATTTCCTTAAAATATTCAGCATTCATTGACCGAGCAGCCAGTGCTACTTTTGGTAGAAATTTATAAAATCTCTGATTCTAGTATTGATGAGGAATTCCTTCTTAACTTCTTTTTAAAGTAATATGAAACATCAACATGTTGATGATGTCATTATTTTCTCGATAAGTGACATGTGCTATTCATTTTAGTTGTTGCTGTTGTTGAAAGACCTCACCAATGATGCCTTGAGATTCTGTTTAGGATTCAGATTTTTCCTATTTTTAGACTGGTTGACAATCAAGACTTGAAAGCCCTATCTACCCTACAATTTAAACAACAGCTGGAAGGAGAAATGACAGATTCATGCTATTTGTGAAAAGATGAACAAAAATGACTATGCCAGAATTTGAACTTGCCAATATTTTTTCCAAATATGCTATGTGTATATTCATTGATGTTAGGGAATCTTAATGGCAAAAGAAATGAACTGGCTGGCTAAGAAAGGTATAGGTTTTTACAGATCACCGTTATGTTTTCTTTATATTCTCAATGAGACCCCTTATATATTTCATCATTTCCTGTAGTTCCTTATGTAAAAAAGGTGTATGTTCCTTTTCTTCTGTCAGTGAGAAGGATAAATAGATGTAGATATACAGGTATACTCCCCAAGCATCTGGATAAGAAATGGATGTCAAGTAAACCGTAACCATTATGATCTTTACATAAAAATCTTTTTTTCTTTTTCGTGTTCACCCCAAGCAAGGCAATAAAGTCACTAAGAATTAACTAAGGAATTAAAGGGCATGGAAGAATTAGAAAACAGAAACTATACTAAGGAGGAAGTACATAAGAAAAGTAATCAGGAGGACAGTAGATAGTGATTGATACTGCATTTAAATTTTTCAAGATTAAAATTGGCTGGAAAGCATGGAGTCAGAAGGGAGTTCCGCAATTTAGAAGTGCAAGATACTGTAAGCAGAGAACTTACAGTTACATCTAGCCAGTTGAACTGTAAATTGATGAGACTAGTACTGTGCTTAAATCTATAAATTCTTGGCACCATAGTGAAGAGCTCAACCAAATAATTACTATGAAAGTATTTATAGAAAAGACACGGAGAGGCAACTTTATGGTGGTAGGAAAGTGACTGTAATTGAGATACTAGATGAGGACAATATTACTGATAGGTCAGTGGATTTTATAAAGAATCTTCAAATATATAGCAGGAGCATCGGACCATATATAGCAGCAATATTCTGAGCATGGATGACTTATAAATATGAAGGAGAGAAAAATTGTTTAGTATGATACAATAAATCAACTCTCTTCACAGTTGACCTAGCAATGGATTCAATAGAATCCAGTTTGTGTCAGGAGAGAATTGTTATAAAATAAGACATATCTCGGCTGATTTACAGGCAAATACTCAAGAGCGAGAACCGGATGTGAACGGGACAAAGCCCCATCACAAAATGACCATTATCTTTCCTTAGAAATGTTTCCGACACACGTGTTCTGGTCGAAAAATAAAATAATAATTAAAGTTCTCTATTTTTCGTCCAATAAAAATGCTTCCCTCCTAATTATACTCGCTTCATGATATCCTGAGAAGGCATAACGATTCACTCTGGAGGAGGTCAACATCAGCCATGCTTATGGAAGGCAGTAAGGGGTCTTGCAGATGATTAATAGAGAGCAGTTTTGTTTTGGAGGCATTAAAATTAATGAGTCATTCTTACCCTCTGTTAACAACAGCTGCTAATTTGATCTTATTAAACTGAGCAGACTTACTATCAAGACAGGAGTAAATGGTTGTGTCATCACACATACATACCAAATTGGGAGCCAATGCCATCAGGAAGGTCATTAATGAAAATTAAATACAAAATAGGAGCAAAGATGGAACCCTGTGGCACACCTGCATCAGTAGGAAAGGATCTAGAAGAGTGGCCATTTCATGATCTATATATATATATATATATATATATAGATAGATAGATACATACATACATACATACATACATACATACATAATATTAGTGGTCAATATATATATATATATATATATTTATATAAATAAATTCCCAAGAGGTTAGAATCCAGGTAGAACTCACTGTCCAGGACAGAGTAAGAATATAATATAAAAGACTCAAACACTTTTTATATGCACACACACACACATATATATATATATATATATATATATATATATATATATATATATCCTCTTCTTCTCCCTCTGGACAGACTGGGTTCTATAGCCTTGGATGGCAACTGGTCTAGGAGAAGGACAACTCGGAATTCAAAACCTGCGGAGGGTTGTTTAGGGACCTTGTGGCATATAGTGCACCAGGTCTCAGTATTCGGCCCTTCAAAAAGTGTGGATGGTCCTGCATGAAACCTTCACGACTATAATCAATTCTCATGTGCTGTTGTCGGGCTGTCAGTTTCCTGGGAACTGATCTGCTTGACCCTCGTATGTCGGATTTGACGGGTGAGTGGAATATATATATTTATATATATATATATATATAGGAAAGACTGAATCAGTTAAAAAATTCGTCCAGAGACACCCTAACTTTTCAAATTGTGAATGAGACGAGTATGCCAGATTTTGTTGAACAATTAAATCATGATTCTGTCCACTCACTTTGCTGACAGACCATTTTTTTTGTTCAAAAATATGTGCTGGAAATAAATGATTAAATTTTAAACCTTTTTTTATTATGAATTCCTGCCTTAGTTCATGATATGATGATGGTGATTTGGGGCATGGAAGACATCATACAGAATATATTTGCTTCAGTGGAAATCAGCTTAAATGAGTAAAACATCTTAGATTTGATCCTTTGTTCTCCGAATATCCTGAAGTAATCACAGTTTTCTAATTCATAGTGATTCCGTCACACTTTGGAATTGTCTGTAGAGCACTTTGCATATTCTGTGCTCTTTCCACAAGACACCACAAGAATCCTTGTATATACGAACAGCATGTGATAATTGTCCATGACTCAAAATGTTTAATATCTAAAAAACCACTGAACTAATTGAATTTCTTTTTTCTAGGTTTTCAGATAAGACATTTAATTATTTTGGCATCATTTGTCATAAGAATTTCTGAAAAACCCTTTGAGTTATTCAGCTAGAAAGAGAACAGGTCAAAATTGAGAAGGATATATAAAGGAAGCATTATATATGAAGGAAAATTATGTAAAGATTATAATTTATCATATAAATTAATTTAATATATTAATAATAAATAATAATATTAATTTAAAATATTAATAAAATATTAATATAAATTAATTAATATAGGAATAGACTTTCAAAATGGTTTATCATTAGTTATTTTACTAGTGTAAAAGAAATTTTATGTTTCATAGACTTTCTCTAAAACATTTATGTTTCATAGAATTTAGTTGTTAAATACAAGTTTATTTTCACAAAATTAGTTTTACTTCAAAATAAAGCATATACATTTACTATTTCTATAATAAAATTCCTAAACTTATCTATTAGTAAAAATTAACAAAAGTTTTTTTTTTATTGAATTTATTTTAGGTGAGTGGGGTCCACCAAAATAAAAATAATCTGGTCAATGGGTAAAAAAAGGTTGAGAACGATTGTTTTACATTGTAGGTGACAGGGAAGCAAGAAAAGATTTCTGGAGGCAAGAAGTCTAAGAAAAGAAACTATCAGAACAGAACATGGTTACATCTAGCAATTTCAAGAGTAAAATAATGAGACCTATCTGCCAATCTAGTAATAGGTTTAAATTCATGCAGTTGAGGCACCAAGGATGAGAACTCATCCGAAGAATTACCATGAAAATATTTATAGAAAATATAGAAGGAAGTCACATTACAGTGGTGAGAATGTAACTGAAGTTGATATACCAAGTCAAGACAGATAACATTACAGGCTGTTTTTTGGATTTTGTCCATAAACTTACAATATATAGCAGGAGCACCAGATGTGAGTAAATTGAAGTTGATCAGATTGTAAGATTTCCTATTTAACCATTCAGCACATTTCAGACAAGGATGTATTGCTCAAGACCTTATGCAATCACTAATGATTAATGACTGCTGTTTGCAAAAAACAGAAAATGTCAAACTAGAAATGACCACAAATTAAATAAAAAATATCCCCCTTCTTCTATTTTGATCGAATACTATTGATGAGATTCTTCAAATCTTTTATCCTATGATCTTCACTCATTCTCCCCTCTTTAAACCTCTATCATTTCTTAGTTGATACCGATGCATTTTAGTTGGTCTCCCCTTTTTGTTTTCTTTGTTAATGTTCCCACAAGAGTTATTAACAGGCCTTCTTTCTTCCTCCTAATGGGCCTCCATACTCTATTCATTTTGTTTAACACCCGCCAGTTTCTCTCCTATAATCTTTCATTACTTCTCCCCTCTTTAAACCGCTATCATTTCTTAGTTGATCTCTATCTCTTCTCTTTACTATGTTTAAGTTCTTCCTACTTTCAAATCTGTCTGATGAATTGTGGTCTTCTAATTTATAATGACTCCATCACACATTGCAGTATTTCACAGTGACCTTTGTTTGTTTTGGGGCTTTTTCTATGGTATCCAAAGTACAGCTCTGAGTATCCTTCTATATTTTCCATCAAGCTGACCACTCATCATATTTGACAAAGTCCAGCTTTCAACAGCATAGAGCAGCACTTTTTCTCAAAACAAACCCATTTTCAGATGGTTTTGATGATTCAACTTCCATTCCCTTTCCATTTTGTTTTCACCCCACCCCCAACTTATGGAGTTCTGATCTTCATGTCATTTTCACTTTACTGAATCTAAGCTGAAATGTACTTGAATTCATCGACTTGTATCAGCTTATTTCCTTGTAATACGATAATTTCACCCTCAGGGTGACTGTATAACATAGACTAATTTTTTCCTGAAATTTACATGTAACCCTACCAGCAAATTCTTGTTGGAAAGGAAGAAGTTATGACTGATAAATGCAAGATAGTTTGCTATGTCTGTCTCCATGATGCATGTAGATCATGATTGTAGCAATGGCTCTGACTTGCTGTTCGGGTGAATCCAATGTCTGTTTTTCATGTTTCTTTAAGTGCATATTCCAGAATGATAAAGAATGGTACATATTTAATAATGTATATTACATGAAATACTTAATAATATTTAACATTTAATAATGTATATTACATGAAATATTTAATAATATTTGACATATTCAATAATGTATATTACATGAAATATTTAATAATATTTAGCATATTTAATAATATTTTACATATTTAATAATGCATATTACATGAAATATTTAATAATATTTTACATATTTAATGTACATTTCTTATATGAAATATGTTGTGCATGATTATTTTTGTTAGTGATATGTACATATGTTTTGAGATTGATTTCAGTTAAAATATATGGTTTAATTCACTGAATTCATTGCTATTTTCATCTTTGTATTATTACTGGACATTCCCAAGTCTATAATTAATTCAAAAAATCTTGCACATTTACAAATCTACCATTTATCCATCCACTGACTGCTGCTGCCTTATCTGATCTGGTGCTCCAGCTATTCATCCCAAGGTTCTTGACAAAATCCAAAAAAGGGTCTGTAATGTAATCAATCCTGACCAAACATCTCAACTTCAATCACTTTCTCACTGACATGGTGGGGTTTCTGTCTGTCTTTTCTACAAATATTTTCATGGCAACTGCTCTGACAAGCTTTCTTTTCTGATACTGACATGCATGAATTTAAGTGTACTACTAGATTGGCATCTAGGTACCTTTTTTTTTACTATTGAATTGGTTAAATGTAACCACCACTTCTAGTTAAGCAGTTTCTTTTCTTCCACTTGAACACCATACTCTTTTACTTGCTTCCCTGAGAACAACAATCTTCAAAAATTTAAATACAATGTTCATTGCCATCTTGAAGCCCATTTGTCTTTTGTCTTTTCCTCAATCCTTCCTATTCTTAGTATTTTCTCTTACTTTCACTATCTGCAGTCCCCTTCATACTAGTGGCATCCCTTTTTTGCTTGGAGTGAAATGATTAAAAAAAAATGTTTTTTTTTTCTGATATTCATGGATCTCTTAGATTGGAACAAAAGTTAGTATTTTCCAATTGGTGTTATTTGAACATGTGATTTTGTTTACATACATATTCTGAAAAGTAACATTTCAATACATCTTTCTATATGGTTCCTATACAGATTATGAATTTTCAATATTTTTTGTTGTTGTTAAGAGAAAAAAATGGAGAAAAATGAGAGGAATTTCAATGATTTGATGCTTGTTTACTTCTGAGAGGAAAAAATGTACAAACAGCAAAAGATTTATGAGCCATTTATGGAGATGGTGCCATAGCTGAGTGTAATGTTTGTAAGTGGTTTGCAAGGTTTAGAAGTGGAAATTTTTGAACTGGAAGACCAAGAACATTCTAGCAGGGCTGCAGTCATTGATGGTGACAAAAAATAAAATAATCCAAGTTGCATGACATGGGATATCACAAAGATACTCCAAATATTTTGTATAAGATTTGTAAGGCATTTGGAAACATTTGGCTATGTGAATTATTGCAATGTGAATAGCTGCCCAAATCACACTCTCCAGCCTTAATAGAATCCAAAAGTGTGACAAATTATTTTCCAGCCTCTCTCTCACAAGTGTGATGTGCCAAGCATCTCACTACTTTCACAGACAGTGCTCAGACAAACTAGATTCTTTGATTCCACCAGTTCTAACCTTCATGGCATAGACCTGCCATTCCACTTGCATTGCCAAAAACCATCCCCATTCCCTCTGTATTCCATCAGTGTGAAATAACAAAGCTGCTCTGTGGAACCAACTCCCAAGAGGATGTTTCCTCAGTCACTACAATCTTAACCTGTTTACATCTAAAGTTGACCATTATCTTTCCCACTTATCCATACAAACTGCCTCCTAATGTAACCCTCTGCTTTGTGTGGTCCTGGACTTTGTACAGGGTGAACTTTAATGTTAAAAAAACCCCCTGAAAAACTATAATGTTTGGGTGCCTTACAGTTTAATGGACTTTCTTTTTATCAGTAATTATCTCTGATCAAATGCAACAGAAACAAATTCTTTTTTGAAAAGAATGATCACAGGCAATGAAAAATGGATTGTTTACAATTTTGAGTGAAAAACCTCTTGGAGGAAAAAAAAACCCTCTACATCCAAAGAAGCTGATGCTGTTCATCTTGGATTGGAAATGCATTATATATTTTGAGCTCCTTCCACAAAATCTGACATTGAATTCAAATAAGTTCCTTTTGAATTGAACTGATTAAAGACAGAAGTTGGTAAAAAGCATCCAGAAATGATATCAGCTTCCATCAGGACAATGGCAGACCTCATATCTCTTTACAAACCCAATATAAACTGGTACAGCTTGGCTTGGCTGGGATGTCCTACTACACCCACCAAATGCACCTGACCTTGAACCTTCAGATTAAAACTTATTTTGTGTTGTAGAAAGGGTTACTGAATGAGGAATAACCAAAACAGAGGTTGGAAATGAAATGGCAATCTTTATAACATCAATAAAATACAATAATCGTCAGCGACGTGAAGTAGGTAAACCACTGCTAATGGTGGACTACTTAGACAGCATATTACCCCCACTTACAATAGTGTCCAATGTATACCCATTAGTGTTCATAGGTATGGTATATAACATTTTGATTTCTACAAAATTCTCTTAATGAAATCAATTTTCTGGAAGCCTGTAAAAATCACTTAGATCAGTTCTTCATCTAGAAAGATGCCAATTCTGGAATCATGAAGCTGCTTTGAAGATGGTAAAAGGTAGTGGAACAAAATGGCATATATATGGCTGAATAAAATTATGTGCAAATATCTATTGTCTTTGAAAGCCTCTTTAAAAACAATACAATCTTTGTTCTGATCAAATATTTTCTATTAATGACACAATGAATCAATTATAGTCTTCGAGATATTCAGGAAATAAAGCATCAAAAAAAGTGGAAAAAAATGTTTTGATGATAATAAAATTAGACATCACATGACAAGCAATAATGTTTCAAAGGACAGTTTTATTAGCCAATCGTCCTGAGTATGACAATAAAATACATCCATGTCCTGGGTAAGATGATAAACTACATCTGACAGCAAGGCCTTTCATTAGGAGGTTTTCAGGGCGTGGAACCACCTCTTAATTGCTCGTGTTTCCAGATCCACCCTGACCTGGGGTGGTAGCACCTGTCAGGGTCCTAGTTATGGGCAAATAGTTAACAATCCAAAAGGGGTCAAAACACCATTAAAATATAAAAATAGGTTTTAATACCAGCAAAACATTTTGCAAAGTTTTTTTACCAGCAGTACATATTTAAAAAAATATTACCAGCAATATATTTTTGAAAAAAAAAAAATATTGCCAGCAATAAAATCTTATTGGCATAAAATAATCCATTGAGGTTGGTATGCCATAAAACAAACCAAACCAAACCAAACTAATTTATTAGCCAAGCCAACATCATTAGATCTTTTTTTACACTAAAGTTCACCTGATACAAGGCTCAAGAGTTGCTCAATTTAGAAAGTTACTGATGAATGTGTGATGTGATATGGATGAAAGAGGAAATGGTAGGAAGTGAATTTCATGAGAATAAGGAGGATAAATAACAATTGCCCTTGAATTGAAGTGGTTAAGATTGTTGTGTTGATAAATACATCCACGTGACAGTCTGTTCCAAAACACAGCAGTTTTTGAGAAACATTTATCTGGGTGAAACTTTCTCCTTAGATTTGGAATACAGGGGAAATGAGGATGATTCAATTCTGTGGAAGTGGCATGGTGTGTCCTAGTTATAAAGGTCTGAATTAGTGGTAGTAAAGAATAGAACTCATCTGTGGTTGGCATAATAATTCATGGCATAAAAAAAACAGTAAAGTTCAAACTCTGCATGCAACAGCTTGCGTTCACTTTACACAAATGCCCTCAAGAAAGGCATGACTACTATTCATTCTTTTATTCTCAAATAATAGAACAGTTTGAGCCTTTTCGTACTGTAAGGCTGTCTATCATGTGTACTGGGTAAGCAAACTAACAAAAAATTCACTTGTTACTGAACTGCAACAACATAATCTGACAAGGTTATAGTCCTCCCTATGCTGAAAAAAAAATTTCACAAGAATAAACACTATTTTTAGATATCAAAAACCCAAACTAGTAATGTTCCATCATCACCAAGCAGGCACCAGATTTTTGTTTATGACAATGAATATGTGTTCTCTTAAGGAGGACCTTTGCCTTGAATGCCTGTGTGAATATAGGTTCATCCTTGACCTCAAGTGGAATTCATACAATACATTGTTAAAGATCCTGGAAAAATGGTCAATTCTTTGTACCGCTCCAGTAAGTACCTGACTCCTCCTGCTATCCTCAACCTTTACAAGAGCCAGATCAGGCTGAAAATAGAGTATCTGGATATCTGGACTAAAACTGGGCAGTCTTCACTTTCCAGTTTCGATAAAGTCATGGAAAGTTTGTGGGTGATGAATTATTTTCCACCTAACAATCCCTTTTCCCATGAACAAAATGTTGCTAAGCCTCTTGTTACTCTATCACTATTTCCATGAAAAATGTTCCAATGCACTATATTCCTTAGTACCTCCAGTTCTAACCTCAATTTCTTCATATTCTATTGGTAAGAAGTAAGACCTACTTGAACAGCTTCTTGCCACAAACCTCCATTTTTGTGGAACTGACTCCCAAGAGCATGTTTCACCAATCACTATAATCTTAACCTGTTGAAGTCTAGGGTTAAAAATGATCTTTCCTTCATATTTTCATAAGCTGTGATTCCTAGTACTTAATGTTCTGTTCACACAACAAAATCTTTCAGTAATCCTCTACCTTGAGTGGCTCTTGGGTTTTGTATAGTGATTTTTCAAGCATAGCTTAGATGTGGCACAAGTAGAGGGCCACCCAGTGAGGATCGAACTCACTACTTAGTCGTAATTGTTCTAACGAGACAACTATTACACTATCTTGAGGTGCCCAAATGATTTTCTAAGCATAGCTTAGATGTGGCACAAGGCTGAATGTATGGGGCACCCAGTGAGAATCAAACTCATTACTCAGACGTAACTGACCAAGCAAGACAAGCTTGGTAACTATTACACCACATTGAAGTGCCCATATATTGATTTTCTAAATGTAGCTTAGATGTGGCACAAGGTCAAAAGTATGGGGTACCCAGTGAGAATCAAACTCCCTATTCAGTTGTAACTGACCAAGCGAGACAAGATTGCTAACCATTACACCACATTGAAGTGCCCATATATTGATTTTCTAAGTGTAGCATAACTTAGGCAGAATGTATGGGGTTCCCAGTGAGGATCAAACTCACTCTTTAGTTTTAAATATTTTAGCAAGATAAGCTTCCTAACCATTACAGCAAGCCGAGGTGCATTATTTAGGTCTTGTATATGGTGAACATTAATAAAAAAATAAGTGTATGTTAATGATTTCTGTGTTTTTCTTTCTTCTTGATCTCTCTTAGCATATCTCATGAAGCCCAACATCTCTATTATTTTTCAATCAAAGTGTCGCACATAGCCAGAATAGAGTCTAAATGTTATTTTTACAAGAATAAATATGCTTTTAAATAAAGCACTAATAATTAACACACATTTGTCCATGGTTAGAAGAATCAGAGTTCAAGAATATAGCCTTGCCGCCATCGTCTTACCAACAGCACTTATTGATTGGATAGCCATTGGCACCAGCTCACAGACAATGCTTATGCGGAATTTCAATTTCCTTTGCAGACAACCGATTCCTTAATTCTCTTTCCTGTCTGATTGTTTTTTTTTCTTTTCTTTTCTCCCCTTTATATTCTCCTCCTCTTTCTCACCATTTCTCTCCCCATCTCTCTCTTTTTTCTTTCTTTTCTTTCTATCTATCAATTTCTCTTTCTTTATACCTTTCTTTCTCTTCCTCTCTTTATTTCTCTCCTCTTCTCACTGCCTTTCTCTCTCTTTTCTTCCTTCTGTCTTTCTTTTTATCCCTTTCACCTTCTTGCTTTCACATTTACTCCTCCTTTAATATTTACTTTTTCTCTGTCATCATTGTCCGTCAGATAACATCAGATGATTTTTTTTATAAGTAACTTAGGATTTCTTAATTTTATATTCTCCTTCTCTTTCTCTCTTTCACATTCAATCTCTTTCTCTCTCCCTCCCTTTGCTTATCTCCTTCTTTTCCTTCTTTTCTTTCTCTCCATCTCTCACTTTTTCTTTCTTTATACCCTTCCTTTTTTTTCTCTTTTCCTCTAGCTGTCTGTCTCTTTCTTTCTTTTTCACTTTTCTCCCTTTAATATTTACTCTCTCTCTCTCTTCATTATCTGTCAAATAAAATCACATGATTTTATTTTTTTATAAGCAATTTAGGATTTTGACCAGAGCTCAGATTGCTTAATTTTATATTCTCCCTTCCTCCCTCTTTTTCCTTCTTTTCTTTCTCTCCACCTCTCACTTTTTCTCTTTCTTTATTCCTCTCTTTTTCTTTGTCTTTTCTTCTCCCTGTCTTTCTTTCTTTCTTTCTTTCTTTTTTTTCATCTTCTTACTTTCACTTCTCCTCCCACTTTAATATTTATTTTCTCTCTCTCCTCATTCTCTCTCAAATAACATTACATGATTTTATTTTTTATAAGCAACTTAGTATTTTGACCAATACTTGTGTTGCTTAATTTTTTACTCAAGAATTCAGATTACAGTCATATAAAAATGAAAGACTGGTTCTCATCTGATCGTCAGTTAAGCATTATTGAACCTAGTCAGTATCTAGATGGGTGACCACTTAGGAATACCAGGTGCTGTAAGCTTGGATGTGTTCAGGGTGCAATAGATAAAGACTCAGAATGAAAGCTCAGAGAGTTGAGTTCAAATTCCAGTTGGGTTCATTATATTCACTTATGTCCAAATACCCTTTGGAAAGATACGAACACACCTCTTCTTCCCCATTTCTTTTATTGCTCTAATGTGCCAGGACTTTTAGTAAGACTTGTATCATTAAATCATTATTATTTCAAAAAAAATTTTAAAATCTAAAAATATTTTCTGGCTTTAAATAACCTGAAAAGTGTTGATAAGTCATAAAAAATGAATGAATCGATCAATCAACAGAAACAAAAGAACACATATAAACAAAATCAGGAAACAGATACCTTTGGAAAGGTATGAATCCACCTCACTGTAACATACCAATAGACAAAATATGACATTTGCAAGACTAGATGGTGACCTTAGATAGTTACTACATTTGAATACATACATATAGATATACATATTTACTTTCTCATAGACTGTTTCTCTTTCTTTTTTTACGCACTAGGGCTTTTACGCTTGAACTCTTGAAACATCGACTTTCATCTTATCCTTCAGTATTATTATATTGTGTTATGTATAGATTTATTTTGTATTTTTCAATACTTTCTGCATTGTCTTTTTTATTCATTATGCAAACCCAATATACACCCAAATCATATCCAAATATAGAATGGGAACTGATGTTGTCATAAAATAAACAACTTATCTGTAACTGATAACCTCCTAACTACCATATATGGGCAACATTGAGTAACCCTGCTAAGGTATTATTTTAATTTTTTTTGCCATTGTTTATTTACAGAATAACTGATATTTTGTAGGCAAATAAATAAAAAAAAAATTGTGTTTTTATAAGAAATAAATAATTTCTTAATAATAATTTAAGAAACTTGTTGCATATTAAGTGAAAAGTATGGAATATTCTAAAATTCATTATTTATTTACTAATTTTGTCCATTCCCCAATGCTGTGCTCAGCATAACATACCCAGAAAAAATATATTTGCACCATTAACTGGTGAATTTAGACAGCTAAAATGGCTTCATACATTTGAAAACATATATACCTTCTTCATTCAAATTGTCTAGCAGTGTCTACTATATTTGGATACATATATACATATATTTGTTTATTTCACACAGACTTTTCTGTTTCTCTTCATCACTCTAATGTGTGAGGACTTTTACACTTGAACTCTTGGAACTTCAACTTTCACCTTATCATTCTGCATTATTATTATATTGTGATATATAAAGATTTATTTTGTATTTTCAACACTTTCTGTATTTTCTTTTAGTCATCACACAAGGCCAATATCAATCCAAATCGATTATACTGATATATGGTGGGAACGGACATTGTCTTAAGATAAACAACTCATCCAGAAAAGATAACTTCCTAACCCCATAAAGTCTCAAATTAGGGAAAAATGAAATAACTTTCTCTCTATTTGTGTCCATTTTTCAACGTCCATTTACATCATCTACTAAGACTAAATAAAAATAAAATAAAATTTGAAATCATGATGGAAAAAAGCAAAGACAAAAAATTGCCATATTTGGTTGGCTAATTTAACAATATCTCAACAGTCTTTTCTATGTGCTCCAGCTCTTCAGGGCATAGGCGATCATGGCTCTTCACAACTTACTATCTTTTATTGACCTTAGCAGTTTTTTTTTTCCATTTCCATTTACTAAGTCTCCCACCCCAATTCCATCATCCACTTCCACAAACTCATCATATAAGTGGTTCTCTAGCTTTCTCTCTCTTGCTGTCAGTATGTCTTGTGAGTGTTAAGTTTTCCAAGCCGTCCTTCCTACATATATGTTCACGGAATTTCAGCTATCTTTTCCTGATTCTGTTTATAAATGTTCTTTTTCTCTGTTGATTAATTTGTTTTTTTACAGCTTATCAACCCTTTTCATGTTATTTAAAGCCAGAAAATATTTTTAGATTTTAGGAGCTTTTTGAGATAATAATGATTTAGTGATATAAGCCTTACTAATTAACCCACAGCTGAGGGAAGAAGAGATGTATTCACTTTTTCCAAGGGTATTTCCACAAAAGTGAATATATCAAAACAAACGGGATATAGAACTTGGCTCCCCGATTTCTCATTTCAAGCCATTATCCAGTGCACCACCCACACATCCAAGCTTACAGCACCTGGTATTTCCAAGCAGTCACCAATCAAAGCACTGGCCAGGCTCGACATTGCTGAACTTTGGTAATCATATGGACAACTGATGCTTCAACATGATATAGCTGTAAGCCGTCTTTCGTTCTGTCAATTTCTGGGACATAAAATGAGGAAAAAGGATATTTTGACACTCACATGACATATTGAATGCTAGATGGACAGAAGGAAGTTGTGAAGAGCCATGATTGCTCATGTCCTGAATGCATATAAAAGAACTGCAAGCCTAAGGGCTACTGCACTTGTCTCCTGTTCTATGCAGGGATGTTTTTAACAATTGTGAAGAATCCAGTTCATTTGCAAAGTCACGTCATGACACTGGTTCGTTTTATGGCTCGGAGGCAAAGAATCAAAAGCAAGTTCTACAGTTACCTGAAAATATTGTCTTGGAGAACAAAGCACCATATTGGCCAGTAAATAAGATGTATGTGTGTCATTATATATATATGTATAAAAATCACATTATATATTACATATTGTATATGTATTTGCAATGTATAATATATATGTATATATAACATATACACATATATAATATACAGGGTGTCTCCCAAAAATTGACATCATTTAAAATAGGAATATATGAGTAACTACACGTCCCAAGCAAACAAAATTAAGTAGATTTCATGTTGAACAATAAAATATTTATTTATCAAAAATTCAAACAAGAGATTCAAAGTGATGTAGATTTTATAACCGATTTCACAAAGCTTAACAAATGTTCAATATGAACACTGCCTGTGACAGGACACACGTCAAGTCAGTAGTCCAGCTCCTGCCAAATACACTGTAGCATGTCTTGCGTAACATTTTCCAGCACCTCAGTGATTCTCTGCTTAAGTTCTTCTTGGCTTGTAGAAAGAGAGGAGATATAGACCTATTCTTTCACATAGCCCCATAGAAAAAATGACAAGGTGTCAGATCAGTTGAATGTGGTGGCCATTTCAACAGCACTTCGTCATTATCCCTGGCATTCCCTATCCATCTTCCTGATAGATATAAATCAGCCATCCGTCCTTGGAATATTGCTGTCATATATGGTCTGTTGCTTCTGCTGTACGTTTCAAAGTCCTTGATGAAATCCAGAGATAAATATGCAAGATGATAGGTCCAGATCTGGCATCTAGTCTACAATCGCTATCCCACAGATGTACTGTGGCCTCTCTATCTTTTCTACAAATATTTTCATGGCAACTATTCTGACATGCTACTTTCACTGGTTCCTGGACTACATGAATTTAAACAAGCTGCCAGACTGGCATCTTGGTCCCACCCTTTCACTGTCAAAATGGTTAAATCTAACCGTCTCTTCTTCTCAAACAGCTTCTTCTCCTGCACTTCCAGTCTGTGGAACTCCCTTCCCCTTACTTACTTCCCTGATGACTATAATCTTCAAGTATTCAAGTGTAATGTTAATCAACAACTGACACCCTGAGTTTGTTCCCTGTCCTTATGTGTATCCTTTCCTCAAACACGCCTCTTTACTCTTGTTCTGTAACCCCTTGCATGCTAGTGGCACTCCCGCCTTGCTTGGGGTGATTTGCCTTAAAAAAAAGATTCTCATTGAGATAAGTCCACAAAGAGAAGAAGGATGAAGAAGGCAGTAGGTAACAACTGACATTGCATTTAATTTTTTTAAGTTGGCTGGGAAGAAAGAAGACAGAAGAGAGTTCTACAGGTGAGAAGTGCAAGAAATGAAAATTTTGTGAAGAACTTTTGCCAGTCTATTTAATTTCAATTATTTAAGTTAACTTAATTATGAAAATTAAAAATAAAAATAGTAGTAAAAAACTTTAAAAAATAGTAGTAAAACAAAATTAGAATTAGTATTAAAGACATAATACTTATAATTAGTATCAGTCCTGACCTAGCATTTTGGCTTTGATCAGTTTCCCATCACCATAATGTAACTTCCCTGTGTCTTTTCTATATATATTATCATGGAAATTGTCCTAATTAGCTTTCTGCTTTGGTATTTGACTTCACAAATTTAACTACTAGATTGACAGTTAAGTCTCAACATGTAACTGTTGAAATTGCTAGATATAGCATTAAGTTCTATTCTTATAACATCTTCTGTCACACTTCTCACTTGTGAAACTCTCTTCCAGCTTTTGTTTTTTGCCAAATATGATGATCAAAAATTTAAATATAATGTCAATTATAATGTCCTATTTCCTTGAATCTTCTCATTACTATCACTGTTTCCTCCACTCTCACTAACCACTTGCATTTTACTAGCTTCAAAAGGATTTCTTCAGACTAAATAAGTCTTTTATTAAAGGAATCATATATACACTATAGGCCAAAAGTTTGGGGCCATCCACTGGATTTCAAAGAATTGCTCCAAAATTGAAGGTTTCATGCCTTTTACAAAACTAATTTACTAACTCACACTGGGCCAGAGGGACTTTCTCTTCTTGAAGGCTTTTAACATATTGTTGTTGTTGTTATAATAATAATAATAATAATAATAATAATAAGAAGAAGAAGAAGAAGAAGAAGAAGATAATTAACCAATTACTGCATAAAGTTACCTTAAAATGTTAGCTTTCTTATCAAATCTTTCTTGTTGGTTAATGTTAATCTCATGGCTGGTGGA